AAACAGGTAGGATCTCCAAAGATAACAATAAACAGGTAGGTTCTCTAAAGATAACAATAGACAGGTAGGTTCTCCAAAGATTACAATAAACAGGTAGGTGGTTCTCAAAAGATAGCAATAGACAGGTAGGTTCTCCAAAGATAACAATAGACAGATAGGACCTCCAAAGATAACAATAGACAGATAGGACCTCCAAAGATAACAATAGACAGGTAGGTTCTCCAAAGATAACAATAAACAGGTAGGTGGTTTTCCAAAGATAACAATAAACAGGTAGGTGGTTCTCAAAAGATAGCAATAAACAGGTAGACCCTCCAAAGATAACAATAGACAGATAGGACCTCCAAAGATAACAATAAACAGGTAGGTTCTCCAAAGATAATAATAGACAGGTAGGTTCTCCAAAGATAACAATAAACAGGTAGGTGGTTCTCAAAAGATAGCAATAGACAGGTAGGTTCTCCAAAGATAACAATAAACAGGTAGGTTCTCCAAAGATAACAATAAAGAAATAGGTTCTCCAAAGATAACAATAAACAGGTAGGTTCTCTAAAGATAACAATAAAGAGATAGGTTCTCCAAAGATAACAATAAACAAGTAGGTTCTTCAAAGATAACAATAAAGAGATAGGTTCTCCAAAGATAACAATAAACAGGTAGGTTCTCTAAAGATAACAATAAACAGATAGGTTCTCTAAAGATAACAATAAACAGGTAGGTTCTCCAAAGATAACAATAAACAGATAGGTTCTCCAAAGATAACAATAAACAGGTAGGTTCTCTAAAGATAACAATAAACAGATAGGTTCTCCAAAGATAACAATAAACAGATAGGTTCTCCAAAGATAACAATAAACAGGTAGGTTCTCTAAAGATAACAATAAACAAGTATGTTCTAAAAAGATCAAGAGTGCGGGAAGTTCGACAGACTCTGAAAAATTAGGATATGTTAGATAGGTGAGAATTTTTCCCTGCAACAGGCCTTTCAGGAACCCTCCAGAAAGTTGTTGCAACGGTTCCTTAACATGCATTTTACTTGAAAAACAACCTATCAAATATACAGGTAAAAATATAAAATTCTTCCTTCGTGGGACTTTTTAAGATGAAATATTACTAGGTAATGTCCCCAAATGCTGAATTCGATTTGATAAACAATAATGACTATTTCGAGAAAATTTGCAGGAGATTCTCGATGTAGAGTTTGATGCAGTTAAGACAACAACAATATTCTTATAATGGGAAACTGCAAAACATTTTAAAATGAAAAGATATTTTAACTTAATTCAAATATGTCCAACAAATCAAGGACCTTAATTATTGCATCACCTGCACAAACTATTTGAGAAACTTTAGAAACTGAAGATAGAATTATAGAGAGCGTCAATGTACATTAACAGCTAATTCGACAACCGGAGACCAATGAAAACAATTATGGTAGATTTAAGATGTCTGTGGCGGAAGAAGATTTCAAATAATGTCCATCTATAATTGTCAAAGTGACAACAATTTCTAGAGAGAAGAACCACAAAAGCATTTCTGCAAGCTTTTAGTGAAAGTTTACAGTATTGGAGTATCATATGTGGAAGTACATGAAGGAATATTATACAGGCTTGACAAAGTAGAGTATTAAACAACCGTTGGTCTTATAACTGTGTTTCACTTCGTACATGAAAAGCAATGGATGCACGACACGTGTACGTTCAACGTTTTTTGATATGATTAGATGCATTAAAGTAATATTAGTTTTCATTAGATGGATACCAGTTTTTCGGGTTTTAATTTGTATTAATTTTTTTCTAAAGAATTATCGTCTTTATACAAGATACGTTACTTATCCTTATTATCAAGTCTAATGATTTCTAAGAACTATTGCGAATATTTAGAAATTCAACTTGAACAATTAAGATACTTCCTGGATGTTAATTTGCATGTCAATTATTTGTTATTAGTTTTCACTTCTTTTCGCTTGACGATGCTTTTATATTTTATCGGTAATACTTATTAGCTACACGTACGGAACTTGGTGAACGGCATTTACCTGATTAACCAAGTGTGATGTACGCATACCTTGCGTACATTTTGTTGCTATTTCGTTTTTCTTGAAGGGATTTCACCGAAACTTCTATGTTATTTATTTTATAGCTCATCATATATTCAACTTCAATGTTCGAACGTTAATTGGCAGATTGCACTTATTGATATTTTAGGGAAAGTTAACTTTCTCGTGCAATTGTAGTGATTTAACCGTAATTACGAATTACAAAAATATGTGATAATTCATTCCTAATGTTAGTTATCCCGAATTTAATCCATAAAAACGAATTTTAAATGCTACGAATTATATAATTCGTGTTTACGATTTGATTCATGATCACGATTTCTTAAATTCCCGGTAACAAATGTAATACGTTATCATGAATTTAAGCAATCTGTGGTAACGGATTTAATCCGTGAATTCGTTTACACAAATCTTCAATAACTAATTGCAAAAATGGTCAACAATTGTAATTAAAGAGAAATAACTCCTTTGATCAGCCATGTTTCAGTCTTATATGCATTTTTTTAGATCATTGTTTCTGTTTTCATTTCTGTCTATCTTGGCCCAGTAGTTTCAGAGGAGAAGATTTTTGTAAAAGTTAACGCAGACGACGACGGACGACGGAGATGGGAAAAGCTCACTTTTCCCGTTGGCCCAGGTGAGCTGAAAAAGAACTATCAAAGTATACCACCACTAAAGACCAAGGCAGGTCTACCAGAAGAAAACGAGCGTGACAGGCAGAGGCATTGAATGGACAATTCACTAGCGTACCTACTAAGAAGTCATCAACAGAAGATGTACCACTAAAGAAACCATTACATCTAAAATTGAATGACATAGAAATAACTTAAGTTGGAGTGAGAGAAAAATATTAAATGGACTCATAGCACCAAAAGCATGTGGGCCAGACGAAATAAGCCATAGAATGCTAAAATAAAATTGGCAACTGAATTAGCACCTATCATTTGTCAACTTTTTTCAACAATCCATCAATACCAGCTAAATACCTGATGCATGGACAACAGCAGACATCTGTCCACTTTTCAAGAAGGCTGACCATTCGATACCGGCAAACTACTGCTAAGTATCCTTGTATTCTCTGCAAGATGCTCGAACATATAGTATGCTCCAACATAATGAGTCACCTAGATCATTATAATATCATCAATGAAAAACAACATACTTTTCGTAAATATCATAGTCGCGAAACACAACTATGTACTGTCATCAATGATTGGACCAAAACATCGACAAAGGACACCAATGAGATACATTTATATAAGATTTTGAAAAAGCCTTCGACACAGCCTCACATGAACTACTTAAATGGAAATAAAACTGTTACAGGATATCAGGTAAAATACTATGTTGGATTGACTTATTCCTGTGCTACCGCAAGCAAAGAGTCATGGTAAATTCGACAAAATCAAACTGGTCCATCTTTGATACTTGAGTACATCAAGGCACTGTCCTGGGCCCTGTGTTATTAAGTCTACATATCAATGATATTTTGGATAATCGGGTGTTTGGACAATAGAAACACCCAAACGATCAGATGCGTAGTGTAAAATAAAGTATCTTTTTCGTCATAAAAAATATAAAAAAAAGAACAGAGAAAAATACTTATTTTTCAGTTATCCTGACAAAACACTACTTTAAAATCTACTAATATAGATAAGAGTAACTTTCAAATTTCAACACTCCTTTAGTATGAATGAATATAACTACATGTATATGTGAATGCTTTAAACTATAGTAATGCTTAAAACATTATACTGAATGAGTGACAATATTTTCAATTGTATAAATATAAAAAAAAACGTTCACGGCTACTTGAATGGGACTGAATTTTCAGAGAAGAATTAAGGGGCATGATATTTAAAGCATTGTTGATATTCAGAAATCCGAGGACATGACTACGGCTAGCTTGAAAAGGGTACTGTGCGAATCGTATATCCATGTACTGTTTTTCCGCCATTTTTATAGTAGAGCCGTATGGTAATTCTTTTCCGACCTTAATACCAACAACGTACTTCAGCATTGTAATCGGGTGAGAAAGGCTTTATATAGTGAGTGATTTTGTCAATTGTTACATTAAAATAAAATGTATTTAAGTTTCTATGTCTAGTTCCAAGGTTTCCTTATCTGTTGTTGTCCATACTTGATTGTCCTAACGGGTTTCTTTTACGTTTTCTTTCCATTATACAAGAATTTACGTTTTCTTTCCATTATACAAGAAAGGATAGCAGGAAAATCACCAATGCAGAACAACACAACAATATACACCACATCACAAACTCTAATTTAAAGAAATTAAAAAAGACTAAAAAAAATTTAAAAAAATATTTACTCCACAACTTTTCTAGAATCGAGGCGAATGTACTTCGTTTAAGGCCATATGTAGATTAATTCTATGTTGTTGGGTTATTGTCTTATTGACGTTTATCCAACATCTCTTTTTATTCATTCTATTTTTGTTTTTGTTTTTTGGAAAATCAGAAAGTCGAACATACGATAGAGAATCGCACGAACGATGTACGTTCATGGTCTTAAGTGCAAAAGTAGAATATAAAATAAATAAACTAATCACAATTGCAAGTGGTGTACGCAATTAAATTATATACAATGTGCATGCCCTTATCAAATATTTTAAAAACATAGACTCATCATCTCCTGTCATTTATTTCAATACTTTATGCTTTCAAATCTTTTTTCGTTAATTTATTCCTCTGTTTTCCTTTTTAGTAAACATGTTATATACTATATAAAACATGCCTATGAAAATAAATAATCAAAAAGAAAAGATGTAAATTCTCTCTGTATCGTTTTCTGTTCCCGTTCCCGTTTCCGTTTCGTATTCCGTGTCCGCCTCTTAGCAACACCCAGTTTCGCCGAAACTGTCAGAAATGGTCAATAAAAAATCGGATTTGTTTAACACTTCGCCTACTAAATAAATACTTACCCTTTCTTAGGATAAATGGCTAGTCCATGAGGCTGATATAATCCAGTTGTGATAATGAGTTTATAGTAAACTTCTGTAGAATTTAGTGGAACCATGATAATCCAGTTATATTTGGAATCAGAAAAATACATGTTATCCGAAATCCAGTCTATTACAAGTCCATCGACATATCCGGAAGTTTTTGTAAAGAGTGATCGTGTAGCTGTACTGCCATCTAATGTTAGTTCTTGAATCCTTTTGTAACTTTTCTCACTCCAGAATATAGATTTCGTCGTATAATGGAACCCAAGAGCTCGGAACTGCCACCCGTAGTGAGGTGCACTGATATGTCTAACTGTAACATTCCCTGTTTTCACCCAGTCGTTTGGGTCTCCTTCGATGCCAACTATTCGAGATACACCTAAGCTCGTTGGACTCATAGACCATATTAAATTTCTGCCATGTTTAACTAGAAATATAATTACAAGATAAAAATAATTTTTGCAATTTCATTTACTTTTACTGTATACATAAAAAAACAAGATTAATTATAAACGACACGAATGCTTCTTGCAAATGACGGAACCTGTTCTGAACGGGCCTACATGTACTGTTATCTAATTTCTATGTATGTATATTCAGATCGAAGTATTGGAATATAATTTGTTTTCCCGTTTAGTGAGGATTTCAAAAAGTAACAGTTATGTGTTTGATGTGAACAAACTATATTACGGTGTTGTAGAGTCTGAATCGGTATTGTTCAGTTCCAACTGTTGCACAATATGATAAGACAAAGGGAATGACATTTGCTTTATATTTTTTTTTTATTAAACCATTAAAATTAACCACATTCTGTATGTGCCTGTCCCAAGTAAAGAGCCAGTAATTCATTGGTTGTCGTAACCACATTCTGTATGTGCCTGTCCCAAGTCAGGAGCCTGTAATTCATTGGTTGTCGTAACCACCTTCAGTATGTGCCTGTCCCGAGTCAGGAGCCTGTAATTCAGTGGTTGTCGATCGTTGCTGTATATCATTATTGTTTTGTACATAAATCAGGTTGTTAGTTTTACTCGTTTTAATTGTTTTACATTTGTCAGTTCGGGGTTTTGTATAGCTTACTATGCGGTATTGGTATTGCTCATTGTTGAAGGCCGTACGGTGACCTGTAGTTGTTTTAAAACTTCTACGTCATTTTGTTCTCTGGTGGAGAGTTGTCTCATTGGCAATCATACCAGATATTCTTTTTTATAATGAGTAACAATAAAAATATAACTTTATAATTGGAATGCAGGCATTCGAAGTTGACGCATGCGACATAAATCTACAGAAAACGTAGAAAGTTACAATATTTGACTTACCTCCTTGTGAAATAAAAATGAATGAGAAAATTATTAATACAAACATAATGACATTCTCCATTTTGTAAACATGCATGCTGCCTTTTAGGGTTGATAATATAATTTGCGAATATAAATAAGTAATTTGGTAGGAAATCTTGTCCTTACGGTACTCAGTATAAAATGATACTACTTCCTGTCAAGCTGGTAATTAGGCTAAGTTCAAGACGTTTCAAGTATTATTTCACTATTCGTACATTCAAATATTTAAGTCGACTTACGCTGATTTATTCTACAAAAGACCCCGCTCTTGTAACTTCAATACAAATCCCGGAGACAATCAAGGGCTTATTAATTATAACAATTATTGCCTTTTTAAAAACAAATGCGTATATTACTATACATTTATGTATTTATGTAAAAATACATGACTTTGTATATACGAATGTATCTATGTTACAACTCATATGTGCATGCATGTGTGCATTTATGCATCATTATACATGTATATTTAGGTATGTGTTTTTTCTCTTATTGTCAAATATTTCGATTTATTTTTTTATTTCAGGTAAAAGTATTCTGTTTTTAAGAATAATATTCACACGTTTTTTTGGAACAAATATAGCAACTCAATAAGAAAATTCTCATTTTCAGTTTAAAGCCATATGAAACGATTTTCTTGTAACTAAAATGTTATGGTAATTATTGACAAAATACATGCATATATACTAAACTACGTTTTTTAACATTTATTACGAAACCTTAAGATTGCTGATCGAAAACTTTGGATGTTAATTTACTTCAGAGTTTTTTTGCGGAAATTTCTTACCAAAAAAAAATTAAATGAAACAATTTTTTGGTATAATTTGTATCACACTGTTAATATATTTTTGAAATGCTTGTGCTACTTTCCAGTACAAAACAAATACTGATATGTACACACGAATAAGTAGTTTTTCTTCATCAAAGTTGGTGTTTTCACTACTGTTTTTATAAATGCTTTAAGACAAAAAATAAAACATTTTTATTCATATACTAGTATTTGAACAAAATGTAGATATATCATACAAAGTGCTTGTGTGGACTTTCAGGTCCTTACTTTAGGGAGGGAAATTGTGTTTCCATCACTTGACATAAGTGTTTTTATGAATGATTTAGATTATTTATGAATGTCTTCCTTATTGCGATTTCTACGTTTCTTTTTATACGATAAACTTATTGTTTTATGGGGATCCGATTGTTAGGAATATACTAGCATTTCGATAAGTTTTCAAATGCATTAAATACTGGGTTTGTCCGATGCATCATTTGTACGCATGAAGAACATTAAAGTGGTGGTTTTACAATTGTCAGTGTTTTTAATGTGCTTTACTCACTGATATTTGATATCGAAATAAATTGAAAAAAAATGTTCCAGATCTAAATACTTTTTAAAACATAATATCTTATTACAATTACAACGAATTAGCAATCACAATGACCAATGTAATATTGCTTTCATTTGGTAAAATGAGAATAAAGTTCTTTTAAACCATTGTATGCACAAAATTAATTTTAATTCGAAGCTTCAACCATCATTAGAAGTCGTCTTTGAGTACCTGTTGCTCAGATAATTTAAAAAAGAGAAAGCAAGAAACACCGAGGAAACAATCCATTTTGACTTTCCTCTTGCAAAAAAAATACTTCGGCTATTATACATTTATTTTCCGTGCCTGAGGGAGATGTGAAGATTTGTTCACCCAAGAAAATTCGTATTTCACGAGGGCCATATTGTAGTGTTCTTTTAGAATAATATATATTATATTATACTTCAGATGCCTTGCAGGTAGCATTATTTGCAGTTGTTACTACATATATGCAGTCATTGCCAGATATATATAATGATTAGGGACTGAATGCTTAAATAGCATACTGTATTCCTACTAAGTAGATTGTGATTGATTACTCATCCTTGGTCACCACCCACGAGAAGGTGACACATTCAGGAAATAAAGCTGATTTCAATTTATCAACTTAAGTTACATGACGAAAAATGAGGAAGTTTCTGCCTGAAAATACATTTAATTATGTGGAAATTGCACACGCTTCCTCAAAATAGTTCCGTCTTTTTCACCTTATTAAAATTGAACATATCTAACGTCTGATAAAAGCCCGGTCCCAATTTAAAGAGAATCTGAAAAGAAATCAAAGTTATACCTTAACCCAAGGATTTGTATATCAATATACAAATCCTTGCTTAACCAAAATAAGCCGCCGTAATAGAGTAATAGTCAGTTTCGAGAGGAGACAAAATTTGCTATAATCAAAAAAACTAGTCATTAAGTGTTTTATTATACTGTTTACAATAGAACAATATTATCATGGGCGAAACAGTTAACACATAACTAGATCTAGTCACAGCGTAACAGTCGTTCGAGTATTTTAAAGAAAATATTAAAAAATTAACCAGTTCAAACAAACCTAATGGGAACACTAGTTATTGTTCGCTAGCTTCAGCCTGGTGGGAACAATTGGCAATAGACCGTAATAGTCCTGTCTTGACATAGGAACTTATAAGGAGTTCGAAAGGATTGATTCTACCAAGAAATGTGTTTTGCATGCACACGTATATAAATTGCGGTTTTTAACCAACGCAATCATATGTTTTCAAACGTTGTTTTCAATTAAGCCTTGTATATATAAAGTGTCTATATATTAACTCGAACTATTGCATTGATTTAAAGGGAAAGTCCGTGAGTTTTAACTTATCATCTAAATATGTTCATCTAAACATAAAAAACACATTCACAAAGTTTTAAATTTATACTCTTTCTAATAACGGAGAAAATCTCGTACTAGTATTACAGGGTTCTTGTGTCATTTAACTCAGACACACATCTTTTACTTTAAGATGTATGAAAGGTTCTAAATATATATATATATATATATATATCTTAAATGTAACAATAATCAAACGCCTATAGGCAGTCACTAAAATGGTATGAAGTTTTTATACAGATTTATTCTTATTTACACAATCATTAACAAACTAAAATAAATTTAACAAAGTAACACCGTGACACTACGATATAATAAATGGGATACTAATTATTTTTAACCATGCTATGCAGAAACTTAACACATCAAGCAGGAACATATATATTAATATACTGTTCCCAGCATCAAGTTAGTGCACGTGAATACCAATTAGGAACACGATGTGTGATTTTGTATAACTAAAAATATCAAAGCGAGCAATAACTTTGTCAAGCAAACATTTTTTTCACTATGCCTCTCTTTATCTCCGCTCCTTTACAATAACTATTTCGCTTTTCGTCGATCATTCTCTATATTGTTCTCTATTCGGTTATTTTTTTTTCTCACTTTGCCACTCTATCTCCGCTCCTTTTTTCCCTGTCGTCCTAATCCTTATAAAGATAGGGACATTAGACATAGAAAGGCTCTCTTATCTTCAATGACTTAATATTGATAATGACTATAAGTGCTGCATTACTTTATATATCTGCATGTTTGCCAATCGACAAAAGCTTGTATTTGCGTGAAGAATTTTATTCTTCTTCAAAAATATGGTCCAGAATCATGACAAAACAATATTCATTTCACAAAAATGTTCAAAGGTCATGTTTATAATTTTTTTTAAACTTATTATCAGCAAAAATAGTGGATAATATTATTATCAGAACGTCATTCATTAAAAGTTGGAATTATAATTTCATACACACACAAGATAAACAACGTAAGACACAAATATATGGTTCAATAAATGTTACCTGTGAACACCGGGTCCCTCAATAAAGATGTCATGCATGAACCTGTATTATATAATTGTGTAATACGAATTTTTAGTTGACAGGATGTCACTGGAATACCCAGGGACGTGTATCTAATATACGTCCTTGGAATACCTAACTGAATGTGTCGCTCTGACACGGCATCTATCAATAATTCTGACATACCTATTATCAAGGATTTGTATACAAATCCTTGCTATTATCAATTCGGGAGGAAACCAAAATATATATATAATAAGATAACGTAAATAAAATTTAAAAAGAAAAATAAAGGAAAAATTTTCAACGAACATACCAGATAGAGTCACACATTTAACTGTAAAGCCAGAGACATATAATACAAGAGATTCGCAACTCTAGTAGAGTCTATATAACAGCCAATGAAATGACGTGGCCACCGGAAAGCCGATTAATCCGATGGATTTATGGGTAATAACCCGTATTGTTGTGTAAAAGGTTCTACGCCTCACGATTTTTCTAATGGATAATGCCGATACCTTTCACAGCTAAAACATGCAAGTATATTTAAAAGTTACAAAAAACTAATTCTAATAATTTGTTATTGATAAAATGTGTTCTAATGATGAGATTAATCAAATACAAACAAAGTTAAAACTCGGCCCATTTTACTTCACCTATTGCCGTAGAAACCATTTGATCTCCCAATTTTTTTCTTAAAACTTGAAAAATATGCTAATAAATATATAATTTTATGGGCCAATAGTACTCCCAAATGTTGTTTCGTGACTGAAAATAAGACTATTTTCGTATAATTTGAACCAACAATGTGGCGATTTTTTCTGATTGATACCCGAAATTTTTTATTAAACTGGCTAAATATTGAAATTGTTCATGGACAAATTTCCTTATATCAGTCCTTCTTTTTTGTGCACTATGAAATTTATAGCCTGCATTTTGTTAGACATTTTATTCATTTTTCATTCTGTTTATAGCAAAGTTGTTTATTTTCTCCTATTCTGAAGTCATTGTTTTTTTCTTCTTTTTAGGGTGCCAAAGATGAACGAATGCAGTAAATTTACAAAAGGAGTAAAATTTTCCCAGTAAAGGAAACCTTCTGCTGGTCGTAATATTATGAATGAGCTTCATATGCATCTGTTGTCGTTTCAGACTACGCTTCTCGTTCAAAACATGAACCTAATTCATTTTTAAATTAAAATCGTATTGAGGACATTTCAATGGTGACTGCAAAAGATATATATATATATGTTTGTGGTATATCATCTTTTCCACAAGTTTATTGTTTTCTGTTTGGTATTTAATTAATATTAAGATCCATTTTGTTAGATCTGGTGATCAATTTATTTGGCAATCGCCAATGGCAGTCAGCAGGGTTTAAGAACATCAGTTGTT